TGCAGTACTCAGCTTAAACCAGCACAGCCCCTCAGAGCTTGTGAACTCCCAAGTCTGGGAAGTTTGGAGGACCACTGCTGAAAGCTGCTGGTGAAGCCTGGGCTGAAGACTCCTCAGCCCTTATCTGCTGAGACATGCTGGGATGTCTGAAGTGAGCATTCCACTGAATTCAAGGGAATTCTTACCAGGTATGTCTTTATACATGCGTCGTGTGTAAATTGATTTAGATACTATATAGCAAGTGTGGTGTGACCGTTGTCGCCTCACATCTGTAACTAAGTCACTGTTGTGACTGTAGTGAATCCCACTGATTAATGTAACATTTACAAACTGCTACTACATCTTGTGATCTACCTTGGACTGCAGAGTGCTGCTAGGTGAAAAGCTGTGTAAAATCCCACCTCTGGTGAACTGATACTTCTACAACACCATGCTAAGATCACCTTCTGCTGGTACCTTGCACATATGTAACCCTTTAGACATAAATCATTGACCAAGTCTGAGAGTAGGACTAGATCCAGCTGCACCTGGGCTCCACCAGGAGTTTAGAGAGCAGGGGGACTAGTCCCATGACTCAATTGGTGGTCTCCCTTTCCCTTTTGCTTCTTCAGTCTCATTCTAAATCAGTTCTAACTCTATTTTCCTTTGCTTCATACATGCACTCAACACTAGAGTGAACCATTGAACTTTAAAGTCACACTTTCATACATTCATATGAAAACTACTTTTGCTACTACCTTTGGTGATTCTTCGAGTGATCCTAAACCACTCCTTTGACAGGTAACATGTTGTGTGTTAGTGCAAATCACATCAATGCTGTGCTTAGAGAGAAGCTGAAAGCCAGGATATGATTTATTACATATTGATCCTACGATTAAGACTAACAGATCATGTATTCCGTCTGCAACTCTTAAGCCCTGATATTAGCTTAAGAGGAACCTACTGTATTCCAGAAGTGAGTTGTTAAGTCAGAAACATGACTTGTGATGTGGTTTGTCTGGATTTGATTAGGTTTAGGGGGGTTTTGTCACTGTGCTTTGCTTTGTGTGTGGTTTTAAATTAGGCATTCACACTGCATAACAGAAAAGCAGCATTGGTTCCATTGCTGTTACGAAGAGGTTGTTCATAATGCAACAGCATCAGGATTGTACCACTGAAGATGAAAACAGCTTTACTAATGCATTGACTTGTATGGTTAAACTGCAGCCTGGTCTTGCAGCCAGTGGGGTGGGTTTTATTGTGGTATGAATGTTGTTGTGGGCTGTAGAGAACTCTGCTGTGACAGTAAATACACAAGAAAAAGGATGGAACATTCACGTGGATTTCAGGAATGGCTTAAACAGGAGAAGGTGCTGCTGTGTGGTCACTGTGAGGTTGGGGAACCTGAGAGAGCTTCTCTTGGGAGCCTGGTGGAGTGTCACAGCTCTTGCACTGAAATGATGGTGGAGCAGAGGTGATGTCCGCAGGAAGCTGGGAGAGGTGTGGGGTTTGTGTCTTACCTGCTGCAGAGTCACTAACCTCGTGTTAGTGCGACAGGCCAGGGGCTCCCCAGCCGCATCCAGCTGTGACCTTCAGGCACTTGCTCTTTCAGCAAAGCTTCAGAGAGCCAAGGAATAGATTTGAAGTATAAAATGCTGTAGCTTCCATAATTCTTTAGTAAATATTTAATTAAGCTGCATCGTTTCATTACAAGCAGTTGGGTTTATTACATTGAGTTTTTGCTGTCAGGAACCCAAACTGCAGCTTCTTTCATTGCTCCTCAGAAAAGAAATGGAGGACTCTTGTCCACAAATCCATTCCCCAGAGTGTATCAAATCCAAGCAGTGGGTTGAAGCCTGACACTGCAGCACGGGTGCTGTTGTGTGTGGGTGCAGGCTGGAGTTTACAGCTACACATTAACAACACTAAGGAAACTAGCAAAGTCCCTGTGGAAACAGGCCAGGAAAGGACAAGAGCCCAGCATGGAAGCATGGAGCAGTGCGGACAGACAGGGTGTTAGTAATGAGTGCTGACGGACATGTGCCCAAGTGTGGCTTGCACTGATGGTCCCTGGTGGGTGTGAGGTGCACTGTGACAGTGACAGGTATGTGACAGTCACATGCTTGGATTCCAGGTCTAGAAGCTTCCCATGTGTTTCACATATGTGTTATTCCTAGTGTAACATCACAACAGATGGGGGAAGGCTGTTGGGTTTCTTCTTGTTGTAATGCTACCTAGAAAAGGAAAAGGTTTCCTTGGAAAGGTGAGGAAATGAATGTGCACCTTAAGATGTCCAATCTGGTGTTGTACCTGTTTTCTACTACACATACTGATAAGCAGCCCTTGCAGCCATATGGGTATGGGCACTCGTAAGAGTGTTGTGTTAACACAGGCACAGGGCTGAGATATGAGTCCCACTGGAGTGTTTGCTGCTTTGTGGTTTGCATGTTCTAAGTAAATGACATTTTGTTCCCAGAAAGATGCCTTCAAATGTAGGTTTCAGGTGGAAAGGCTGGAATTCTGGTTAGATATGTTAAATAGCAAAGATCCCTTTCCTTTGAGCTGCCCCTTTACACAGGCAGGCTCTGTGGGTAGTGCAAACTGAAGGGCACTTCTGGGTTGTGTCATAGCACAGAGGACCCCAACTCTGGCTGGTAAGAAGGGGTTTAGCTGTTGATGTAGCCACCAGGAATGGAATCTGAGTTTTGAGATACAGTGTATGTCAGCAGGGGGTTGTGTCCCTGTAGGGACAGCGACAGCTGGGTGGTCAGAGCAAACAGGAGGGCTTCTGATAGCCCCAAAACCAGCTTTACACAGGAATGGGGCTGGGCTGAGCAGTTCCCCATGGCTTATCCCACAAGTGGCCTTGTGAACACCACATCTGGATTACTGCTGGACCCCATAGCAAAGGGAGCTGTAGCACACCTGTACAGGCGATCCCAAAGCTGCTACTCTAGTGGCACACCTTGAGGAGTCAAGGGCTCCTTTGCTTAATATCAAGCTTGATATCTTAGTATCAAGCTGCTTCCTAAAAATTAAACCCCTTCCCTCCAATAAAGCACAGCAGTCCAAATGCACATTATCTACAGTTCATAGGCTGGACTTCGTCTCACTGTTTTGGTACCTGGGGAATGATTTTGGGGCGTTTGTGAGGTGAACAGCTCATACAGATGTTCTTAATTTTCCTTGAAATCCAAGCAGTAACCATTTCCCTTCCAGTCTGATGTCACTATGTAATTCCACAGAGCTGGAAGGGCTCCGATTTGTGTATATATGTAAGTGTTTCTAAACCTGTTGTGAAGGGTCACAGCCTTGAGCCATCACGAAATTACATCTCAGTTCACAAACAAAAAGAGTTCCCAAGGTTCCAACACATGGCACTGGACAGGAAGGGGGCCTCCAACCACCCCAAAATCCAGTGTACCTACTTGGTGCAGTCTAACTTCTCGTATACAAGGTCAGAAAGGAACGTCAGGAAATGTTTAAGAGGAAATGAATGTTAACCTGTGTTCAAATAACATGGTTGTCGTCAGGTCTTTGTGAGCACACAAGTGTGTGCTGACTGTCTGTGACCACATGAAAGTTTCCTTCCAGTTCTCGGGTGTGGGTTGTACGTGGTGAGGACAGCTCAGAGCTGGTGGCAGTGTGGTGACATTGTATCTGGCATGTGTTGTCCTCCTTCATAGGCATGAAGGGGTTCCTGGGGTAAACCCCTGTGTGCAGGTAAGTGAGGGCAAAGCTCGGCCCTGCCCTCGCAGCGCGGCAACCACTGAACTTGAGCGCATCAAGTAGGAATTGTCACTTTTAATCCGTCACAAAAGAGATGCAACTCAGACAGTATAGTTCAGGCATGCAACATGGCAGAGGTAACAAAATGGACGAGAGAGATAGCAGAGTATAGTAAATAAATCTTTGTGATTAAGTAAAAAAGAAATCACAAAACCATGTCTGCAGGCTCAGCTCTACAGCTGGGGTTTTCCTTTATACAGCAGCAGCAGCAGCCAAGTTCACAAGTGATAGATATTGCACCAGAGAGACATGTGCAGTGAGGAACAGAATCACATTAATGTGCTGATAAAACCGGATATGACTTTCCATGGGTTACATAAAGTGCCTTTAGAGTCGGTGCAGTTCCAAACAAACCCAGCCCCGGTGGTGTTTAGCTGTTGGGAGCAAACACGTACAGAGCTGAGCCAAACAGGTTGGTTCTCCATAGTGCCAAATCCCACAGTGCCAGGATCCATCCAAAATGCCTGGGAAGGGAGATAGAGAACCACTGTACAAAGGTAAGGCCAGGGTTCAGCATCTGAAATGCTCGATGCCAACCCTACCCCACATAGTAGTTATAGTACATGTATGTATTACCAGTGGTGCAGCAGTTTGGTTACTGGACATGAGATTTGGCATGCTATGGTGTGTGTGGTGCTCCCCTGCCTGGAACCAGCCCCATATTTATACACAATGCAATGTCCAGTCCGTGCTTCTGGAGCCAGGAAAACACTGCTGTGCTCAGTGAGGACTTGCTCTCGTCACGCAGCCACGTCGAGGAGCTTCCCAGCCTCTTCCTACCTCCTTCATGGTTGGGGAACACGAGGCTCAAAGTGTGCTTTGAGAGAATGCCACTGGCCTCCAGTCTGGTATGAAATTAAGAAAAATGCTCAGTTGTCCAAGTAGATGATATTTAATTGTAAGGAAATAAAATCTGAAACTGGCTAAATCAATGGAAAAGTAAACATGAGCTGGAATACTATACCTGGAAAAGGATTAATCCCATTCATTGCCATTAGAAATTATGTAAAATATTTATTAAGGGCTTTGCCTACAGAGGCACAACATAAATAGAGCAAGTCCTGCTGGACCGGCCTCAGTCCATGGCACGGGGCCGGCCCCCCCAGGGCACAGTTCAACTCCTGGAGTGGACCCTGCGGGGTTTGCTCGGTTGGCAGTGCCGGGCACGGCTGTGCCAGAGTCACGAGGGGCCCTCGGGCCAAGCAGAGTGTGTGCAGGGAGAGGTGGGGCAGCTAATCCACTCCTTCAAAGCCTTGCGCGTTCTCCACCGCCATCAGGAGCTTCTCCCGCAGGTCTTCAAAGGATTCATAGAGAGGTAAGTCGAGGCGATTAAAGCTGGGGGTGAGAAGGGAAAGAACCACTTAGTAATCCATGGAAAACTACACATAGTGGCAGAGAACTGGGAAAGGTCACATAGAACATCTCATTGTCCTAATGGTGGCATCTCCACTGCGGCCTTCATACACCTAACGCTTGTGTTCCTGCAGGTACCCCCGAGACCAGCCCTGCCTCGTGCCTGCTGCTTTCCAGAGCTGGACATGGGAATTCCTGAGGAAAGGAACCACCCCCACTGTACTGAGCTGATAGGAAACATTTCCTCTTTGTTTTACACTCAGAACGATGCTCTGAATTTACAGGACACATTGTCCAACCTCAGGAGAAAAGAACCATCCAAAAAGAGGTCTTGAAAAGGTCCTGTAAAATCTAACAGGTAACTGAGGGGTGAATGGATGAGTTGGCTTTGGAATGCGTTGGGTTTTGTTTGCTTTTAAATTAAACTTATTATTCTCTGGCCTGATGATGTTCATGGCAGGATCACCATTCTGCACTCATGTGCTGAAAGCATCTTTTGCTCCACAGCGCTAGTTAAGTTATTCTGTTGCACATCAGGAACCTGGATTTAAGGTAAGACAAGGCTGGTACCGAATGCTTTCACCACTTACTTACAAACTCTATGCATTAGGATTAAATGATGAGATTTTATAATCTCTCATTTTCAGGGCCTTTACAGAGCACAGCATCCTGCGGCTGTTCTGTTACATTCACATTACAGTAACTAAACATGAAACGCCATTCCTTTTCCTGGTTTTCCCAATCCCAGGAACCACAAGAGCTGTAAAATAAAGCCTAGTTTTAAACACCCATTTTAACACCCAAGCACTTAGTAGAAGTCCTGAGTGTTGAAGGTTACTTGGAATGTAGTAAATAGCATTAAAAAGTGCTTATTGCCTACTCTATTAATGTGGCCTTTCATGTGTCCATGTCTTTACACACGTGTGTGTAGGTTTCAGAGTATCCCATTTGCTAAATGCTGTATGATCCAGAGCTAAAACATGTCGGAGATGAGCACAGGCACCACTTTTCGCCTTTCCTGGCAGCAAAACAGTATCAAAAAGGTATTTCTTGTTCTGGTTTTATGACTTACCATGTGTGAGCTCTGGGCAGTTTATCAGGACTTCCCCATTGCTCTATTGTAAACAGCTGAGGACCATTTGAACCTGGTTGAAAGTGAAACATCACATGGAATGTGAGTTGTTGGACACCACAGAGACCTCCTCACCCCTGTTTGTAACATTTAAGGTTTTATATTGCTAAAAATTGTACCATTTGTATCAGTTATATCAAACTCTTAGTTGCAATTTCATTAAAGCAAATAGGAATGTGGTTAGTTATTTCTAAGCTCTATTAGCCTCTGAAGATGATCTACCTTTCTGTAAAGGATGTGTAATGCAGCAGTAGTAACTAGACATTGCCATTTAACCACTTAAAGCTCTTGGTTAACAGGTCTTCTCACCATAGAGTTCAGCAAATCCATTCATAGGCACACGTGAGGTCCCCGTGACGAACTGCAGCAGCCGGATCCGTTTCTCAGCATCCATCAGCAGAACAGCCTGTTGGAAACACACAACAGGCACAGCTCTACACACTGGTGCTACTCAGCTTCACTCAGGTGTGTAAGTGATGTAGCCACACAGCTTTACCTTCCAGAACCACTGGATGACAGGGTGGTTGGGGCAGTAGCCATTCTTGTAGATGGTGTGTTGCCTCCAGTCGTTGACATCCACGTCGCCGAGGCCGCACATCAGCAACTACACAGGGAAGTAAATGGTTACGGTGTTACGTGTGTTACTCTGTGCCCTCTGTTGTCTTTAAACAGCACTAGTATAAATGCAAATGTAAAGGGGGGGTTGAGCTTTTCTTTAGGCCAATTCCAGGTTCTTGGAGAGACGCTGTGCTGTGTGACAGTCGTTTGCTCAAAACATACAGGTAAGGGCATAATGGTATCAACTCGGGAAGCTGTAAGCTACTCACTCACAGGCTTTTCTGTGCACATAGCCCTCACTGACTCATTACCCGTTGCTGTCTTTTATGTGTCGATACATTTACATGGGAGACAAATCCCTCCATAAGCAAAGGATCTTGCATGCAAATTCCCTTACAAAGAGTATGGGATGGCAGAGGAGCCGGATCTACCCCAGCTTTTGGGGATGAGCATCCCTGCCCTGGCCCGTGAACTCACCTCGAGTTCGTTTTCATCAAAAATCTTAATCAGATCAATAGGCAGCAGCTCTGTGAATCCCTGGAAACAAGCAGAGCCTGGGTCAAAGCCCCTGTACTTCCAGGGCAGATCCCGTTTGTAGCTAACAGGATCCTTGGCTTCAGCGGAGGAGAGGGGAAAAACAAGGGGTGGGAAGGCCCTTACCTCCAGGAAAGCGTTCATCTGCTTCTGCACTCTGTTCACAAACCTCCACTGGATGACCAGGCTGCAGGAGATGGATACAGAAAGAGACAGTCAGATGGAGACAGGGAAGGACAAACAGACACAGACATACAGACAGAGAGAAATACAGAGGACACGGGGCCAGACAGAGTGACATGGGGACAGGCACACGGACAGACGGACACGGGGACAGACAGACGGACAGGGGGCCAGACACACAGACACATGGACAGACAGACAGACACGGGGACAGATAGACAGACACGGGACGGACAAATGGACACATGGACACACAGGGACGGACAGACGGACACGGGGATGGACAGACGGACAGACAGATGGACATGGGGACAGACACACGGACACATGGACGGACAGACGG